GTATTTTAAATACCAGCAGGGTCACCCATGGTGGACAGGTTTCAGATGACCTTCCAGACTAAGACAGACTAGGAAGAAAGAGTGACGAACTACTTCTGAATATTTAGTCACTGAAAACATTATGAATGGGTGGACTAGACCGCTCAAATTCAACATTTGTAGGACTGAGCTCATCTTAGCCTCCAAATTTGCTCTTTTCCATTGCTCTATGCACTGTGGGTTGATCGCTAGAATGCAAGGTGGCTTGGTCAGCAGTTCAAGCTCACCAGCTGTTCCTTGGAAACCCTATGGAGGGTCACTATGAATCAAAACTGACTTGATGGCATTTAACAAGACAGTCTTCATAAATGATATCACCATCTATCCAATGGCATGCAAAGAGAGTTCACTTGCCTCCAAATCCAATCAATCCTAAATTCTGTTGATTCGACTTTCTAAATATTTGTCAAATCTGTCTGTTTCTGTCTGTCTGCATTGCCATTTATGCCATCATGATCTTCCTCTTGTCCTAATGCAGTGGTGTCCAGCTGGACTCCCTCTCACTGCAAGCCTTTTTCCTTCAATTCTCCTTTCTGCTGCTGGTAGCTGCCCTTGCATCAACTCCAGCTCACTAGAACGGTATGTCCATTCCTGCATCCTCCTCACCACACTGGTATGTTTGAGTGCATCTTTACGGCTATGTGCCAGTCCATCTCATTGGGGGTCTCCCACGCTCTCACTGGTCCTCTGCTTCACAGATCTCCACTGCCAGTGATTTCACTCTATTGATGCTGTGTCCAAAGCAAGTGAGTTGAACAGTGTTCTACAGCCAGAGTCATCTTTGTACTTCTCCCCTACCTTAAGCCCTTCAGAGGGCTTCTTGCTTTTATTTCATCTTTGATTTTTTACATTACTCAGTGGTTTTTAAGCAAGGTGTTTGTTTCCATATACTGCATTTAGTTTCTTGGCTTTTCCTGCTATAATTTCAACTTTTAAGCATTGTGATCAGAAAAAAAAATTTTTATATTATTTGATGTTGTGAGGTTTATGGAGGCTTGCTTTGTGACCTAAAATTGTGGTCTATTGTGGAGAACAATTCATGTGCATTAGAAAAAAATATGTAGTTTGTTGCTGTTGGGTGTAGTGTTCTGTAGATATCTATGAGTTGGTTGATTGTAGCATTTGGATCTTTGTTGAGTTTCTAGTTCTTCTGCCCTCCGATAAAAGTGGTGTGTTAATATCTCCTACTTCACCATGAAATTGTTTTATTTCTTTTTCACTACTGTCAGAATTTGCTTTATATATTTTGAAGCCCTGTCATTGGGTGTGTATATATTTACTATGGCATTTGTTTTTTAATGGTTCAGCTATCATGTTGACTTTCTCATATTTTCTGATTCTGTATGTTAATCTGAAACTTAGTCTTTAAGGTAACTGGGGTTACTGTAAACTAAAATTAAAAAGAAATGATTCCACTTTTGCTTTTACTTTCATTATACCTCTTTAATCCTACTTGAACTTTGCCCATTTCTCTTAATGAATGCTGAGAGTAAGGGAAACCTTGGACTGAAGACTTGAATGGGATCTCAATTATTATCAAATGTTGATAAATTATCTGCAGTCACAGATTTAATTTCAGAACTGAGAATAAGAATCCTTGGAACTTAGTGACACCTGCTGAACCAAGCAGCATTTCCCATTGTATTATTGTTATGAAGTGCCATTGAGTCGGTTCTGACCCATAGCAACCCTGTATAGGGTTTCCAAGGAGCAGCTGGTGAGCTTGAACTGCCGACCTTGCAGTTCAAAT